CACAAAACCAAATAAAAGAATTAGGTAATTATGTCATACACTAAATTTAAAGCAACTGTTATGATTTTCTTGATAATTATACTCTTGCCTTTTATTTCAGGCATTACCTTTTACTTATTCAATTTTCAATACAATGGCCATGACTATCCAAAAAGGTCCTCCATTTTCTTTTCAAACAAACACAAATGTCTTTTGAAATTGTGGTGGAAGGTGAACAGATGCCTTCAACACTGACAATTCATTATTGTTAATTATTTTCTTTTCCATGTTCCTACAATTCTTGTTTTTCCAGGAATATAACATAAGACCTATTGTCAATTGAAAATACTTTACCATGATAAGGAAAATGGATGAAGATCTCATCTCAAATCTGGTGTGGGATTGATGTATGTATTGTTTTGTATACGTGGTATCCATATATATATATATGCGTTCCATCTATAGTTTGAAATTGAATTCCTTATGCACATACTGCCATCTAATTGAGTTATATAAGACAGAGAAATGTGAGAATTAAATTTCGATCGTTGAGTGTCAATTAATTGAAAGTACTTACAAATATATCTATACATATTTTCAACGAATACTCCGTAAAGTTATGTGAGAGGACTATACAATACAATAAAGAATCAAAGAATAAATGTATCGTTTGAGATGAAATGTTATCCTGATCAGAAGAGCTTGCTGGCGAATTCATCTACGACTATTCCTTCCATAGCAAAGGAAGCAGATTTTGAGGCAAGGCGTCTCAGCCCCGAAACGCTTCTTCCCAACTTCATTGCCACCTTCATTTCAAAAACTTCACCGTTTTCTCTTTTCTCGGTGTCTGTCTCTTCAAGAGTGTCCCTAATGGTCTCTTCCAAAAGCGTGAAGAACCCACCACAGTTTCTGTACATTTCGAACACCATGCCCACTTGGCCACCGTGCTCAAATGCATTAACTGCGGAAGCCAATGAGCCAGCCATGAGAGGCACTAATGCCGCCAATGAGCCATTCCCCACAAAAGAAGACCCCACTGCTGCAATCCCACTCAGTAAAGGCCCCGCAATTGCAAGACTCTTGCTCACCTTCAACGCTATGTTTCCGAGCCTCTCATAGTCCTCACTGTCTTTCTTCCTTATCACTTCGATCACTTCCCTCAACTCCTTTTCGAGGTCTTCACTCCATCCATTCTCAGACCTTTTCCTCTCCCGTGTTCTACTTTTTCTCTGGGACTGAGACGAAGGCCACCAGACCGCTGGTTCATATTTTTGGGGAAACTTGTCGAGCATGGCTCCCAACAAGGGAAGTGGGTAAGCTTTGTCGAGTGCCAACACCTTCTCTATTGAACTCTTCACATCTTTCTCTGTGGGATTTCCAATAGTGATTAGGGTTTGGATTTGGGTATGAAGCTCTTTGAACAACCTTGTAGCATTGCGTTGCTCCTCGGCGAGTTGTGAGGGCTGAATTTTGTTCATGATGAGTGACATCCCTGTGGCGGCAGAAAACAAGAGCGTTGATGATAGTTTCAAGGCCAAAAGCGGTGCCCCGGTGTCACCAGTGGTGGCTGCAGCAACACCGGCCATGGCCGTGGCAGTGAGAGTGATCGTGTTGAGGGAGTTAAGAAGAAGAGTATTCCAGTTGTTTCTCTGTTCGCCAATGTTTTTGTGCATTTCAATTCTGTCAGAAACTTGCTCCAAAATTGCGTAGAGTTGAAGAGTGAGGTTATGAGATGATGTGTCGGTGGGAGTGAATAAATCTTGATATATGTGTTTGGTAACAACGTTGTTCTCCAATGGAATTGTGTGTGTGGAGCCATTAAGTTGATCAATGCGCAGGGGTTTTGATGGTAGCTTTGGGAGAGAACGAGAGAGTGGTGGAGGGTTAGGGAGACGAATAGAAGCGTTGATTTTTGATAGAGAAGAAGAGAGGAGAGGTGTGGTATGTAAAGAAGCCATGGGATGTGTGT